AGACCATATACCCTAACACTGGTACTACCGGTGCTGATGTTGAGGGGGAGCAGCATGTTCCTCAAGGGCAACCAAGTGACATTGAATCTAATGAAGATGATGTTCCACTAAGCAAGAAAAGAAAGGAAACAACTGCCCCTGATGTTGGTCCTTCCAAGAAGAAATGTAAAGAGCGTACAGTTTCTGAGATGGAAAAAATTTAGGGTGTTTCTATCAAAGTGGCTAGGGAGTATGCCAGACAACATAACATTCAGTCCTCTAATCAAATGTATGACAGGAGAAATTCTAAGAAGATTCCAAAGGTGGTTACCGACTCTGGCATCTGTTTGATCAGATTGAACGAATGGAAAAGTTCAATTTGAAAGCATCAAAGGAGAAATATGTTCAGGGAAGTGCAATTACCATACTTGATAGAAACAGGTTTGGAGATGTACTGACAAGAAGAAGTGATCATGATCCAATCATAAAAGTAAGATGCTCCAAGACCAATATTGAAAGAATGCTTACAGTGTATATCATAAGACATGGTGACAATGGAAAAGCTGTTGGCCAATATACCGAAGTTCTATCTTCTCAAGATTTTATGAAGTTTGGGTACAATTAATGGATGCAACTACTTGAGTTGATCAACAAGCAGAAAGGAAAATATGTTGAGGAACTGAGGCTTATTCTAGAGAGACTCGTCACAAAATTTAAGGATCTTGACTTAGTACCTAAGACCTCTGTTGAGAGAAAGACTTTTGAGAAACACTTGAACAAATGTTAATACAAGATAATAGTTGCGGAATAAGTTAATCTCAAGGATCAAGTTAGCTCAACAATAATAAGTTAGAAGTGTTACATAGTTAGTTGCGGAAATGTAAAGGAAATATAAACAACAACAAGTTATATCAAGTAGACACCAAGTTGATTCATAACAAGGTTTGCAGTTAAACACTAGTTAGTAAATGTGAACAACTTAAGGTGAAGAGAATCTCGGATATTAGACAAGATGGATATTTGAGAGAGTGATCTTTGTATTTCTGTATTAGCTCAAAAGATCGTGAAAGTGGATAAGATTACATGAAGAGGGAGTCTCTATATATAGAGTCCCGAAAAGTTACATTTGAAATAAACTAATATTAAACTACTGACCTCAGTAACAATCTACGGTTCACGGGATAATAAAAAGAGTGTACGCTATGTCCGTAATAAAACAAAGTAGATCTTCATGCAATCTTCAATTGTGGTAGCGGATGCAGTTGCGGTAGTAGATGAGGTTGCGGTAGTAAATGCGGTTCAACAATAGCTTTCCAATTGCGGTAGACAAAAACTCTCACTGCGGTATCAATTCTCACTGCGGTATCAGCAACTTATCATACTGCGGTTCCTTTAGCTAAAGAGGGCCACTTTTTGTATCAACAACCTCAAATAAACCTTCCTTATTCTCAGCATCTGCTTCAGTGTCTCGGAAGAGAACCTTCAAAGGAGTCAGATTCTTACTTCCCTATGGTACGAAGGTTATTCACAAATCTCTACCAGTAGGTGTTTATTCAGTTCAACACATGTTCATTCTTCAACTAGAACATTGCATCTTCTAAATGGATGGATCTAATCATATGTGCTTCCAGCATTCAAATGATCTTTCCAAGGCACTCACTAAGCACTTGGTTCATCTCAAAATTTTGTGCCATGTCTTTGCAAAACTTGCACAAAACTATCACTTCTTAATCCCGTTGGAACTTAACAATAGAAAGAAAACAACTTGCTATCTCTGGCTATTTTTGGGTCAATCCAGAAGTTGAAGAACATGTTAATAACTTATAACGTTGTTTTGAAGAAGAAGACTTTGGGTTTTTACATCATCTCATCTTTCAAAAGCAAACACAAAATTCATAAAAAAAAATCACGTATTCATACAAGCAATTCACTGCTTATACAGCCATTTCAAAGTTTAAAACACAAAATTCACATCTTAATACAATAAATTCATAGTTTCATACACAAAAATTATACATTCACATCCATACTCTCAACTTAAAATTTACATTTCAAAAATTCCATTCACGGTTTAATAAAGCAGTTATGGACTCTCATTCACAGTATTAACAACTTAAAAACATACTTTATTTTGTTAAGGCGTTTCATCAAACACCTTGTATTTACCTCATAAATTCACAGTTTAATAAATCATTTCTAGACTTTCATTTATAGTTTAATAAAACAGTTCAGGACTCTCATTCATAGTACTTACAACTTAAAAACATACCTAATTTTGGTGAAGCATTTCATCAAACGCCTTAAAAGCACCACATATATAAGATCTATAAGCACCATACACATCAGTTCTGATGTGACGCTGGAACCACTTCTGGCCACCATGAAATGCTTCGTACACCATATATATGCTTGAATTGCACCAAACACATCATATCTTACCAGGTCTAACCAGATCTGAGAAATTGGTGTATCTTTGGCTTCAGATTTGAAGGTTGATGGCGGTTGGTGACTTTTTTGGCAGTTTGAGGAGAGGAGGCGATGATGGTGAAATATATCCGATGTGGTGGTGGAACTACCACTAACCACCATGAAATGTTTTGTATACACCAGATCTATGCTTGAAATTACACAAAACACATCGGATCTGAGAAATATGTACGTCTTTGGCTTCAAATCTAAAAGGTTGATGGCGGTTGGTGACTTCTCCGACATCTTTGGCTTCAGATTTGAAAGGTTGAGGGATGCAACATTAAATTTTTTGCAGCATTGGAGAGGTCGGCGGTCGGAAGGTCATTGGGGACGAAGCACAAATCATATATATATATATATATATATATATATATATATATATATATATATATATATGTGTGTGTGTGTGTGTGTGTGTGTGTGTGTGTGTGTGCGTGTGTGTGTGTGAAGGTGTAGAAGACTGATGTTAGGGGTGATGGCAATGGTTCACCAGAGCAACGACCGTGATGACAATCGCCGGAGGTCGCATGGTCGTCGTTGGCGGTGGTATGCATCACTAGTGGTAGCAATCAAAATGAGAAATTATTTGTGTTATTGAAGCTTATTGAGAGGAGAGAGAATATATCTAAATCTGGATCTGATTATGAATATAATGAATTGTAAGTAAGAAAATGGTTTAAATAAAGCTACTAGTGGAATAGACAAAAATACCCTTAATGAAAATAAATCCTAGATAGTTCCTAACTTTTAGTGGTTCTTATTTGAACGTGTGTGTATATATATATATATATATATATATATATATATATATATATATATATATATATATAATTCCTAGATAGTTCCTAACCTTTAGTGGTTCTTATTTGAACGTGTGTGTGTCTATATATATATATATATATATATATATATATATATATATATATATATATATATATATATATATATATATATATATAGTGTTATGTTCATTTGAGACGTGTCAATTTTTGTGATTCTGTGAGACCAGTTTTTTCTAATGAAATAATCTAATATTCTACTTTTCATAAAAACATAATATATATTATATTTTAAGATTCTAAAACAATATTGTTAACACATTTTACACTGAAATATTCTAAAAACATAATGTTAGAGTATTATACATATTATGTTTTTAATACTAAAATATTTAACTAAAAAAAATTGGTCTCACAGTCTTTTAAAATTAAGTTTGTCTTAAATGAAGTTTTCTATATATATTCCTAGATTGTTAACGATACTCTTGTTAGAAAAAATCTTTGTAAGAATCGATTATCTACTTGTTTAACACATACACATTATACACAGTAATAATTTAAGATGATTTTTATTAGTTCTTAATATTTGAATTATTAGTTATGATTGTTAACAAACAAATCTGATTAATCTAAATACAACAATCGTATATTCGTATTTTACATAATAAAACAATTTTATTTATAAAAGTTTCTTTAAATAATACATCTCTCAAATAAAATTACTCCAAAAAACTAATAATAATTTTCTCTCTTTCTTTTGATAACTTTTCATGTGAAAGATAAATTACTTTAAACAACTTGTAAGGGAGGAAGGAGTCCAAATGGGTTAAAGTTTTGGTAAGGGAAGGCTGGGAAGCAATGAGTTGAACGGCTTCTTACATTTACTCCATTAACGAGTTTACCAGTCCGTCCATTTTTAGGAGGAATAAACATAAAATATTCATTCCCACTTTTTTGTTTTGATGCGTATGGGTTGATAACCTGTGGTATTTCCTTTTAGTTTTATGTTTTTTGTTTTAATATAAATTTGTACAATGAAAATGAATATATTCACATTTCTAATTCAATTAGATAATGTTATGTTTTATTTGATTGGTTTTGATTTTGATGCATGTGGCCATAAAAATTGTTATGTTTTGTTATATTTTATATTTTTTAATTTAATTAAATAAAGAAAATGATATGGCAAGTGAATTGAATGGGTTGAAAAATATAGGGTCTTTTTTTGTTACAATTCTTCACGTAAAAGGTTAGTTACTAACACAGTTTTTCACCTAAATGATTGTTAAAATGAGTTGGCAAAAAATACAAAATATAATAATAAGAGTATTTTGAAATTTTCCTTTTATGCAATATGATTTCAAATGCAATGTACTTCTATCTGTGCAAAATGATTTCAAAGATGTAATCACTTCACATATTTCCGAAGATACATTTTCTGATTTTCAAACATATACTTTAAAAAAATAATAATAATTTTCTTAGTCAACAAGAGAAACTTGTGAAAAAAAAAAAATCACCGTATATAAAGAGTTCGCTTCAAAAAAAAATAGATATTTGAAAATCTATACTTCAAACTATTTTACTTTGTAGTAGTACATATAAAAGTATATTACAATTTTGAAAATCATAATTTCGAAAACCATAATTATATGTTATTATTTTCATGATACACAGTTATCATTTGAGAGTTAATTATTTTTCTACCCATTTTGTTCCAGTTAATCAATCAGAATTCAGATAGCAAATAAAATCTTCAATAAGTAGATGAAAAAGCCATGAAATTGATATATTTTGTTGTACAACAATACAATAACACAAGTCTGAAAATATGAAGTATATATTATATAAGCCTTGGATAATTAGGCTTTATATATATATAATACCAAGTAAAATTCAAGAGTATAATATAAATCTCTCAAAATTTAATTAAAAAACATCAGGGTGAAATCGCCCTGGAATTGAGCTACCTTGCTGAGCCTGCTTCAAGTGCATGGTCAAAGAATAGTTGTTGACCTGAGAATCAATCATAAATTCATAATCAATTATAAAGACAGAAAATCCTTTGAAATTTTTTTTTTTTTTTTAAATAATGAAAAAATACCTCAAGAGTTCTAAGTTGTTCTTGGTATTGAGATACCATTTGCTTTAGATTATGCAACTCTTGCCCCCTATCTTCAAATTCCTTTTGTCTTTCATGTTGAATTGCAACAGCTCTTTTCAACAGAGAGTTTTCTTGAATTAGGGCTTGAAGTTGTTCCTTCATCATCATATTTTCCTACAGATAAACAAAATCATCATCATTCAATTAACAAACCCTAGAGAAAGAGAAGAGAGGAGTTAAAGTTAAAGTCAACCCACCTGTTGAAGACCATGTGCCTCAGTTGTAACACGTTCACATATAGATTTCTCCAACAATTCAAGAGCTCTTGAAGCACGAACTCGAGCATCATCAATGTTGGAAGCACTCACCATTTCTCTCACAAAAAGGTCAACCCAATCTGCACCATCTACAGGTGGTTTTTGAGGTGATGAATTCTCAATAAGAACAGCCTCACCATTTGCAACACCATTAGCTAAAACATCAATACATACACAGTAAGCAGTAGCATAAGAATTGTTAAAGATACCTAAAAGAGATAAGATAGAAAGAACAGGACACACCATTGGGTTGGATTTGATACTCGGATTCCTTTCCAACAGCAGAGGCAGCATGTTCAACAGAAACTAAACGTAGCTCAGTAAGACTTTTGATTGCAGTTTCAATGTCATCACCACATTCGTTCAGAGTTCTTTCAAGAAGCTGAAATAGATTATATATATATATATATATATATATATATATATATATATATATATATATGATTCTGATTGTCAGTATCTGGTATTCCATTAAACCAAGAAAGTGTTCTTATATGAAACACAATCTAAAGAAAAAACAATTTTAGATAAACTACCATTGCAAAGAGTTAGCTTCAAGTTATAAAGTATAAACATATGTTTCTCCTCTGTTGACAATTAAAGAATGCTACACAAACAGCAACAACAGGAAATCTTTCTACTTAGAGAAGGAAACACAAGAATATAGCTATATGAAACAAGAACGATAAAATTACATATATACTAGATGCTTCTTTCTGAAAGGAGAAACGAACTAATACCAATAAGGAACCGATTAACAAGTAACGAACCTGCTTATCCATCTCAGGGAACAGCGCGATGAGACGATCGAGTGCGAAAAACCGCGACGATGGAGTCGCTGAGGAAAATTGCACAGGGGACGAAGAAGAAAAGCAACGGATTCTTTTAGAAGCAGGAGGCGACGCCGATGATGAAGAAGGTACGGTATGATCCTCGAAGAAAGATGATCTTTTCCCGCACACCACCGCAGACATGTTGTGTGTGCAGCTCTGTTTTTTGTTTTCTATGATCGCCTTCTCCCCCCTATATCTTTCATACAGCGATTCAATTCAATCAAATACAAAAGCCCCAATAATTCAATAATTAGGGTTCCGCCCTCTTTATCACTTCAATCGGACATCAAAAAACTAGTCTTCCGATCCTCGATCTAAATTGCTTTTTCACTAATTCGATCGAATTCGAGTTTTGTTGATCATCCAATCGAAAAATAAGTATCGATTTCCCTAGATCGCAAAGCATACAAAGAAAGGGTTTGGCTTTTTATCGAATTTCGATATTCAATCCACTTCTGGTTCCCCTAGGCGTTGGGTTAAAGTGACGTGAAGGTTATATATGGTTTTTATTATAGGCAATAGTTTACTGAAACGTGTTGTTTTATAATTGGAAGCTTGAGGTAATCTGTGTAACAGCCGTACACTTAACCGACTGTTGTCAAATATGGGTTTCCTTTACCAAATTGCATAACAATGATCCTTTGTATTCTTTTTCTATAAATGATTCTTTGTATTTTTTTTATAAACCAATAGGTACTATTTACCAAAAGTTTTCTAGCTCAACGGTATCAGGTGATATTTTTTTTTTTTTTTTGAGGTTGAGGGTTTAAGTCTCGTCGTGGACATAGATAAAAATAAATGAAATTAAATGTTAGTTTAAGAGTAGATTATATATTTATATTTTTCGATTCAAAAAAAGGCTTTATTTATTCATATTCATTTTCAATTTATTCATACTCCTCAATAACTAAATTTTACTTTTTTACTGAATACCTAATGGTTACATAATACTTTTATATCTTTTACATATAATTAACTCATAATTACATAATAATTTACATTTTTACCTATAGTTAATAGTTAATTATAAAATAATGATGGATAAATTGTTTATAATACATAAATCATTATTATTTAGAGGATGTGTACAAAACACAAAGTGAAGGGTTTGAACATGCTAAGTATCTTAATAGAGTTTTTAAGCTTGAAATGTCTATCTATGGACTTAAACAAGCATCGTGAAGCTGGAATTTGTGCTTCCATGAGAAAGTCAAAGAGTTTGGTTTTTTGAGAACTCCAGATGAGTCATGCATGTATGTCAAAGCTAGTGGGAGTGTCGTTGTGTTCCTAGTGTTGTATGTAGATGACATATTACCCACATGAAACAATTGTCTTAAGTTGGAAAATGTAAAAGCTTGGCTTGGGAAATGTTTTGTTATAAAGGACCTAGGGGAAGCGACATATATATATATTGTGTATAAGAATCTATAAAGATTGATCGAAGAGTTTAATAGGAATCACTCAAAGTACATATGTGGATAAGGTATTGAATGGATTCAATATGGAAAATTCCAAGAAAGGAAATGTTCCAGTGCGCCATAGCGTTAAATTGAGCAAGTCTTAATGTCCTAGTTCTAGTGATGAACATGACAAAATGATTCGTATCCCATATGCTTCAGCTATAGGATTGATCATGTACACGATGACATGTACTTGTCCTGATGTATCGCATGCTTTGAGCATGGTAAGTTGATATCAGGAAAATCCTAGACTAATTCATTGGGCGGTTGTTAAGAACATTCTTAGGTATTTGAGAAATATGAAAGACATGGTGCGTGTATATGGTGGTGAACAAGAGCCTGTTGTGAAGGGATATATTGATGCAAGTTTCCAAACAGATAAAGATGATTCAAAGTCACAGTCTGGATGGGTATTCATTTTGAATGGTGGTATGGTGACCTGGAAAAGTTCAAAATAGGAGACAACGGTGGACTCTACATGTGATTCTTAATATATTGCTGCAAGCGAAGCATCCAAGGAAGCTACCTGGATCAAAAACTTCATAGGTGGCCTTAGAGTTGTTCCGAGTAACAAAGATCTGTTAGAGATATTCTATGATAACAAAGGTGCAGTCGTTTTGACTAAAGAACCTAGAGATCATGGAAGGTCAAGGCATATAAAGATGAAATTCCACTACATTAGAGATAGAGTTGAGTATGGAGATCTAGTTGTAAATTGAGTATCATCAAAGGAGAAACTAGTCGATCTGATCACAAAATGGATGACCAAGGAAAGACATAGTGTGCATGCTAGGAACATAGGCATGAGAAATGATGTGTAACACCTAATCCAAGTATTCGATATTTTTATGTTTTTGATCAATTTAAAGATGTAAAACCCCAATTAATAAATGGTCAAGATGTGAGGAAGGAAACCTCACAACGTGACCATCAATGTAGAAACGTGTGTGTTGGATTAGGTGTCTAAGCCCATAACTATAATTGGTATGAACTTGATTTGATAGTAGCATGGTCCTTTTGTGTTGCCTTCACCATAGCAACTTGATATGATGACTTTTGGAGAAAGAGGTTATTTAATGATTTATTAATATATTATAAGAATAATATATTAATTAGAAATCATATTATTTAATTAGTATTTAATCATAAATTAATTTGGTATTAATTTTGGGATTAAAGGAACTGATTAAAAGTACGGGTATTGGTTTTGCAAATCATTGATAGTTGCAAACTGGGCTGCTGGACTCCCTTGGAATGGGGTGGACGAATTTTTATAGGGAGGCCCTATAAAAATCGTCTAAGGCCTTCCAGAAGGGATGTCCATGGGCTGCTTGGAGCCTAAGCAAGGATTAGGGTTTCCACCTAAAAACCCTAGCAGCCACAGTTATATAAAGACCCCATTGGCATATGATTTTCGGCCTATGCATTCTAAGAGACACCCTAGCCGAAAATCATAGTGTTTTACCCTCTCTCTCACTCATCCTTTGCTATTGGTGTTTGTGACTCCATTAGAGGTGCAACACTTGAGGCACTAGAACTTTCAAGTGTCAATATCATCCATGGAATTCTTGTTATTACTAGATAACAAGCAAGGTAATGTTCTAACCCAAGTTTTCATATAGATCTCGAAAATTGTATGCTAGTATTAGGGTTATTGCTTTGGAATTTCTATTTGCATGTATAACTAGAGAAAAGCTTAGATCCAAAGGAATTAGGGTTGCATGATCACATAGGATGTTGTTATGCTCAAAACCCATCAGTGGTATCAGAGCCTAGGATGTTTTTCTGTTATATTTGATTGTAACGCCTGTGTTTCTGGGCTTGTCATTAATGTTGATATAGTAGTCTAGGTTAACCTTTGTAACTCATTTTGAAATAATAGAAGTGTATTATTTGAGTATTTTGTGTTTTGTGCTTAATTGTATGTCTTAATTGAATTAAGAATAAAAATAAGCGTCAAAATGAAATCTTAGATAAGCTCGATATCTATGGATAATGTTGTAGTAGTTGAAACGAGGTTTCCGAATATATATAGAATGCCGAAATCCGAATTATAACGAAGAAGTTATGACCTGTCGAAGTTTCGCGACAGAACCGGCACGACGCTGAATGACGTAAAATATGAATTTACGATAGAGCGATATTTAACCTTAGTGATCTAAAAGAATGTTGTAGAGTTCGTTAAACCGAGAGCGTGCATAAAAAGAACGCCCAAATCTGACTTCGTATGAGGAAGTTATGATTTTCCGAAGTTTCGACTTAGCAGTGTGCAACCCGAATACTCGATTTGAGATCGAGCGGTTTTTAGCCGAAACAATCTAAACGAGAATCGAAGATCTCGTCGATAGTAGTCCAACGGTAAAAAGACAGACAAAAACGGACTTCGGATGAAGAAGTTATGAATTTCTAACGGAGTTTTCCTGTCCCGGCCTACTAAAAATAATATAATAAAAATATAATAAAAATAAAGTCAAAATTAGCCGACGGAGTCTAAATGAGAGTTGTAGAGCATAATCTCACCAACGCGTGGATGTAAAGAACGTTGAAAACGGAGCTCGTATGCGAAAGTTATGAATTTCTGAAGTTCGGGGCGTGAACCCCAAGGCTGTGTCAGAGCTCACGAGGTGAATATTAGAAACTCACGAGGTGAGCCAGTTCACGAGGTGAGCATTAGTGACTCACGAGGTGAACAGATGATGGACGTCTTCCAAGGCAAGTGGTCGTGACGAACACAATGACGTATCGAGCTCACGAGGTGAATATTAGAAACTCACGAGGTGAGCCAGTTCACGAGGTGAATATTAGAAACTCACGAGGTGAACTCAGAAAATTCACCCTATAAATAGAAATCGAGGGTCAGCCGAGTTTGGTTGCTCATCTCTTACTCTCCCATTCCCGATACTCTCTCTAAGCCCTATTTTAATCCCCCGAAGCCCCGGTATCATTCCCGAGACCCGAAGCGAGTCCCGAAGCCCCGAAGATCCCGAGAAGTGCAATTCCCGAGCCGAAGCTCTGCCAGCGAGAAGCCAATTTTTGTGAAGATCTTCCAGATCTACCGAAGAATACTACTGCTACAAGCCGTAGTGCTGTCCGATCATCTTCTGATCAAGTGAGTGTGTAGTTACTTTCTTCTAACGCATAATTATGAAGTATTTTATATGAAATACATGTTATGTGTATATTTTGTTGTTATATGTGTGAATGTATATTCACTTTCTTCTATCTCATAGATATGATTTCTTCTCTATGAAATACGTGTTATGTGTGTGTGCCTCATCTGTTATGTGGAACATGTATTGAATGAACATGCTATACAGGTTTTAAACTATGTATAAAAATATATATTTTTATCTACTAATATGTTGGGTAGAACATGGGTAGATAGTTGATGTGTGATAAACAGATGAGAGGCCTCGATGTTGTTGTTGATCTAGTCATCTAGCGGAGTATGGATGACGACCACAGACTCTTTCTAGACAGTCATGTGGAACACTAGCAGGCTCATAACCTGTAGGTGTTGTGAACGATGTGTTCACCGGTGTACTCTATCCCCCTCATGGTTGCCTTTAGGACATCTATTGTTGAGGAAACCCCTTGCAGTAATGTCCGTCCCGATGAAAAATCCTAGATTAGGTCCCTTGAGATAGATGTTGTTTTAGGGACGTAAAGTGAGGATAACGGGAATGGGTAATCGGGTTATTGTTGGTTGGTGAAATTAAATATAATTATTTATTGTGGGTTGAAAGGCTCCCAAGCCTGACCCACTCAGTTTTGTTGTATTACAGGTAGTGGCGCGAGAGCATAAGTTGGATGACTTATCAAGATCTTTTGATATTAGACCAGTTGTTATATGTAACTGTTGTATGGTCTATCTTTTGTTGTTTATGCTTTTGGTCTGTTTATCGGAACATGACATCCCGAATATTGTTATATAATGAAAATGCATCTCGTGATGAAATGCTTTGATAAACTTTATTTTATCGTATTTTGTTTTGGGAACAAATTCCGCAGCTCTTTTAAATCAATGGATTTACTCTG